CAGAACCCTCAGGAAAACACAGAACACACAGAACACACAGAACCCTCAGGAACACACAGAACCCTCAGGAACCCACAGGAACACACAGAACACACAGAACCCTCAGGAACACACAGAACCCTCAGGAACACACAGAACACATAGAACACACAGAACACACAGAACCCTCAGGAACACACAGGACACTCAGAACACACAGAACCCTCAGGAACACACAGAACACACAGAACACACAGGAACACACAGGACACTCAGGAACACACAGAACACACAGGACACTCAGGAACACACAGAACCCTCAGGAACACACAGAACACACAGAACACACAGAACGCACAGAACGCTCAGGAACACACAGAACCCTCAGGAACACACAGAACACACAGAACCCTCAGGAACACACAGAACACACAGAACCCTCAGGAACACACAGGACACTCAGGACACACAGGACACACAGGACACTCAGAACACACAGGACACACAGAACACTCAGAAACACACAGGACACACAGAACACACAGAACACTCAGGACACACAGAACACTCAGAACACTCAGAAACACACAGGACACTCAGAACACACAGAACACTCAGGAACACACAGGACACTCAGGACACACAGGACACACAGGACACTCAGAACACTCAGAACACACAGGGCACACAGGACACTCAGAACACACAGGACACACAGGACACACAGGACACTCAGAACACTCAGAACACACAGGGCACACAGGACACTCAGAACACACAGAACACACAGGACACACAGAACACTCAGAAACACACAGGACACACAGGACACTCAGAACACACAGAACACACAGAACACTCAGGAACACACAGGACACTCAGGACACACAGGACACACAGAACACACAGGACACTCAGAACACTCAGAACACACAGGGCACACAGGACACTCAGAACACACAGAACACACAGAACACTCAGGAACACACAGGACACTCAGAACACACAGGACACTCAGAACACTCAGGGCACACAGGACACTCAGAACACACAGAACACACAGAACACTCAGGAACACACAGGACACACAGAACACACAGGACACTCAGAACACTCAGAACACACAGGGCACACAGGACACTCAGAACACACAGGACACACAGGACACACAGAACACACAGGGCACACAGGACACTCAGAACACACAGAACACACAGAACACACAGGGCACACAGGACACTCAGAACACACAGGACACACAGAACACACAGGACACACAGGACACACAGGACACACAGAACACACAGAACACTCAGAACACACAGGAACACACAGAACACACAGAACACTCAGAACACACAGGAACACACAGAACACTCAGGGCACACAGGACACTCAGAACACACAGGACACTCAGAACACACAGAACACACAGGACACTCAGGAACCCTCAGAACACTCAGGAACACACAGAACACTCAGGACACTCAGGAACCCCCTGTTAGGATCAATAGAGTATCTATAACATAATCAATACATATATCAGAAGAGATAAATACAGTTCATAAATATAGTTAATATATAATATATTTAAAATATATATACTTACTATATAATACATTTAAAATATATAACATAACTAGGGGGGCGTTTACCTTCCTCTGCCCAGCAGCAGAGCACCAGCAGCGGCAACAGAACCACCAGCCCTGCGCCCCGGCTCTCAGCCTCCATCTCCCCGGGAGCTGCGGCTCCTCTCCCCGGGAACAGCGGCTCCTCTCCGGGCAGAGAGGCGGTGCTCAGAGGAGCCTCATGGAGGAACTCTTCCAGAACACAGGCCCAAAGAGTGGAGGGTTAAAGCGGACACAGAGGGGGTATAGTCCCGGTAATCCTCTCACATCTGGTTCTTCTTAAATGATTAGTTTCTGCTCCGGAGCAGAGGAGCGGCGCGCGGCGGCCTCCGAGGCCGAGAAACAGGCTCGGAGAGGCGGATTGGAGAAAGGAGAGGAGTCGGTGGAGCTCCGGAGGAAAAACAAAGGAATAAACCCCTCAGACCGGGCTCCTCTTGGGGGTAAGGGCTCTGTGTCGTCCCGCTGGGTCCCAGTATCCTCGGTATTCCCAGTATTCCCGGTATTCCCAGTTAAACGCTGCACACAGAAACTTCGGAACAAAAGCAGCAAAAAGTTTCAGCTCCGAGAAACACGAGAAGACACGCCTCCTCTCGCGCTGCCGCCTCTGATTGGCTGAAAGGATACGCCTTTCAAGTGTTCCGGCCTGTGATTAGCTGTCCCATCTGTCAATCATCAGAGTGCTTTGAAGGAATGTGTCTGCCGCTCTCTGCCTGTCTGTCGCTCTGATCAACACACACACGCACGCACGCACACACACACGCACACACACACACACACACACACGCACACACACACACACACACGCACGCACGCACACACACACGCACACACACACACACACACACACACACACACACACACACATTTTTATAAAAACTAAAGATCATATATTT